GGCTATCTCTGGTGGGGGGATTTGGCTGCGTGAAGACGTCCTCCACCGCTGGCCTATCCTGCCTGTGCCCGAGGACTCGCTGGACCTCGTGATCCTCGCCAGCATCATCCACAACGAGGTCAGGCACGAGCGGCATGTTCCCAGCCTATGGATCCGGGTGCGCAGGCCAGTGCTGGGGGAGCTCCTGGTGGTGTGCGCCTGCTCGAGGTGGCTCGCGGTGCTAGTCGCACCACCACGGCGCCGGCTTTCCCAGCCCGGTCCTCGCGTGGCTCGCTCCTCTGCCCTGCCCGCCGCGGCGGCGAGGACGTGGACCCCCGTTGGGGCAGGTGGAGCCCGCTGATGACCCTGAGGCCCAGGTGATGCCGGAGGCGGGTGCGCACCGACGCCCTGAGGGCGAGTGCGCGGCACGTGCTCAGTCGTCAAGCAGTTCTTCAGGATCGTCACCAGGATCGTCCAGTTCCTCCTTGTGAGTCTCGTCCGTCGGTTTCTGCGCCATGCTCCGCTGGCGCCGTCGCCGTCAACGATGGTCTACCTTGCTCTGGTCGGAGGAAAATCTCCTCTCGAGCGGTGACAGCGCTGATGGTCTGAGTATTCTTGCCCCGCGTGGACGGGTTCCGATTGGTGCTCCTGGTCGTGCCGTTGCTATGGTGGCAGGATCGCGCTCTACGCTGCTCACAGCCCTGCTGGGTTCGGCCAACAAGAGGGCGACACTGCGAGAAAGCAGAGAGAGAGAGAGAGAGAGAGAGCTCGCGGGCAGGGCCGCGTCGTGGGCGCGCAATTGGTTATCCGCTATCTGCACAAGTGGAGCGGGCAGATACGCCACCACGATTTGATGCTTTGCTGTGCCGATTGTGCTGGGGACCTCCTTCGGTATGAGTGCTCTGAGAAGTCATTGCCCTCACCCCCGGCGGCTCGATATAAAAGGCAGCACCAGGCTGCAGAGATCTGCCGCGCAGCGCGGTTCAGTTCAGCTGGGGGGCGGGGCAGCCGGCGAAGGAACCCCACTTGCGTTTGGAAGCAACGGATGCACGCGATCATCATCTGGGTTATCGAGCATCTCGAGCAGCGCAAATGGCGAATTGATCCCAGGCGTATGTTAGAGTAATCTGTGGGATGCTGCGCGTGGCGGAGCACCCTGGTCTTAAAACTTGGCCTGGATCGCGGCACTCGCCCTGACCTCCGCAATTTGGCGCTCGATGCCGAATGCGTGGTTGGAGCTGGTGACGACCAAGGCGAGCGTGATGATGAGAGAAGTTGCCCGCTGGACGGAGCGTCTTGTCTGGGTGTCCCTGGGTGCCAACAGTCGGCGGCACCGTCGAGCAGCCATGACCTGCCCTCGCCTACAGGAACGGACCTGACGGTGAAGACGCGGACGTAGTGGAAGGGGCCTTTGAGGACGACCTGGCGATGGGCAGCAAAGAAGACTACAATACTCCGCCTGCTCCTGAAGGCGAGGAGGTGTCGAGCGACGACAGCAGCGTTCAAATGACTCTCGCTGCACATGGCTGTTCCTTCATACTCCCAGGTGATGGTGCTGAAACTTCTTCCCTGGTACTGGGTCGGCTCCGCGGCCTCCTCTTGCCGATGACGTAATCACTCCATTGTGAAGTGCTGCTCCGCGCAGCGACGGTCGCGAGGATGACGCACCTGATTGTTATGAGCTTTCGCTTGTGCATGTTGACGCTGAGACGAAGCACCGTGATGAGAGGTATCCCGGCCTTCATGGCAACCTCGAAGTAGTTGAGGAGCTGGTCTACGACAACGCAACCCCGCAATCTGATGAGCTCGATGCTATTCCGGTGATAGACATTCATGGATTGACCGATAGTCAACCAGTTGACGCTCTCGAGACACCGACTTCTAATGATGATACTACGTCGGGAGCACATGGTTCTTCGAAAGACGTGTTTTCTGGAGGTGGCAGCCCCTCGGTTCCCGATGGCGGCCTCCCGCTCAGTGGTGCGTGCGTATTCGCGCTCCTCGGTCAATCGACTCCAGGCGTGCTTCCCGAGGTAAGCACGTGTAGCTTGACCGTGCGAGCGGATGGGCGCGTGGCTGGCTCCCGTCGGTTATCTTCGCCAACCGCCCTGGCTCGGACTTGGATTGGAGAGAACGGTGAACACGGTATCTCAACGATGCGCTTCGATACGAGGTCGTCGAAGGGCTGGTCAGTACCGATCCGAACCTGTTCGATAACGTCACGTTTCTGCGCTGGCCTCGTCTCGGAGTGTTCAGGGCAAGCCACAGCCAACCGGGAGGTCAGCACGATTCATGACGTTACCTGGGTGGTGGAGGGGTGGCTGCGGCCGGTAACGGCCACTATCGCGAAACATAGGAAAACGTTCTCCGACCTCACCCTCGATGCGAGTTCACCTCTCCTCGTCGTCGTCGTTGTCGTTGTCGTCGTCGTCGTCGTCGTCGTCGTCGTCGTCGTCGTCGTCGTTGTGTTTCTGTCAGCCTTGTGTCAACTTCTGTGGCCCTCGAGGACCCTCTCGGGAGTCTCCCAGAGCCACTTCGGGCCCCCGTTGTGGGCTCCCTTCCTGGGTGGCACAGCGGAGAAACCCCGCCCTCCTCTCCTGACGCCCACGTGCAACGCTCGGGATCGACCCTGAATCTCACGGTGGGTCTTGTCAGCCATCGTGTGTCAGGAGGGTAACCAGTGATTGGTGTTTCGTTCCCCCATGGGCGTCGGCACCCGCAAACCAATCGACCTTTACCAAGATCCTCCTTGTCCTCCTCCTTGTCACCCTCGTCCTCCTCCACCGCCCCTTTGCTTCCGCCGGTGCTGCTCCAACCCCCAGGATCCCCTCCCCCTCTCCTCCCTTTCCTTGCCCCTCCCCCTGCCCCTCCCCCTCCTCTTCTCCCTCTTCGTCGCTATCTTCTTGTTCTTCCTCCTCCTCCTCCTCCTCCTCCTCCTCCTCCTCCTCCTCCCCCTCCTCCCACTCCTCCTCGTCCTCCTCCTCCTCCTCTCCGTCCTCCTCCTCCTCCTCCTCCTCCTCCTCCTCCCTTTCTCCTCCTCTTCCTCCTCCTCCAGCATTGTAGAGCTCTTGTAGGTTTCCAGGCGCGCCCCGTCGCTGGTGCAGGAGGTCCTGTCGGAAGGAGGCGCGCCTGGCGTGCCACCTGACCTCGCTGGGTGTCCTCCTCCATCCGGGCGGGGATCGAGCCATCTGACCTCGCTGGTGTCGCTGATGCCATCTGTCCTCCATCTGGTGCCATCTGTCCTCCATCTGGTGCCATCTGTCCTCCATCTGGGCTGGGATCGAGCCATCTGTCCTCCATCTGGTGCCATCTGACCTCGCTGGAGTCCTCCTCCTCCATCCTCGTGTCTTCCTCCAGCCCGGCGGGATGGGACATCGAGGTTCCGACGTTCCTTGATCAGTGATCGGCGGCCGTGTGCCAGAGTTGCGTAAGTCGGGCCTGTCCCTCTGCAGGAGGAGTATTCAAAAATAGTCAGAACAATTGCATGGGGACGATCTTTCGATCACGTTTGGACCAATTGTTGGCATGTGTTCGACAATTGTTTTATTTTTCGTCCAAGCTCCCCCTGTAGGAGGACAGGCCCGACTTAGTGCCAGAGGCTGTTGACCAGCGCGCGAGACAACGCGTGCAGCCTCGAAAGCTCGTGCACCGCTGGCCTCCGTGCGTCGGCACGCCCAGGGGGGGGGGCAGAGGGGGCGGGCCTCGTCGGAGAGGGCCGAGCAGGACCCTGGCCTGCCGCGAAGCCTGCAGAGCGGGGACTCATCGCAGTCATGCGCTGCACTGGCACGGCAGCGAGGCTCCGAGCAAGTGTGATAATGTTTGCACGGTGGTGGTGCGTAGATGCCGCCTGCACAAGACCGACCACGACAGAACCACGAGCGAGAACGTGCGAACGTCGGCGAGCACCGAGATTCGTCGGCACTCGGCCTCCTGATAGATGTCTCGATTGCTTCGCTGCGGGGTTCCCGGAGCTCTGGACCACTTCCCAGGGACGGGTTCTTCGTCCTTCATCCTTCGTTGACGGTCCCGGGGCCTGGCGAGGGTCCCAGACGCCGTGAATCGGAGGGCACCAACTATACACCTACACCGATCCAGCCCAGGCCGATCCTAGGCCCAGGATCGGTGTATATGCATTCTGCCCATGACAGGAGGGCATATACACCGATCCTGGGCCCAGGTTGATCCTGGCCAGGATCGGTGTTGGTGTATAGTTGGTGCCTCCCTAGTGAACGACGAAGGACCTTCGTCTCGATTTTTGAATGCGTTGGAGGTCTGTGGCCGAGAACGTCCGCGGGGGCCCCAAGGGCGCCCGCCGACGAGGGCCCCGAGGGCCCCGAGGGTGCCCGTCGCCGACGATCGTCGATCGGCATGTAATCCATGCCCCTGCTGCCGCCTCCTACCCTGGGCGCCAGGTGCGGCAGGGCATATGGACAACAAAACGCGGCCTCAGAGGGCATGATTTTGTCCATGCCCGTCGGTCGTTGAGAAAGTGGGTATTTTTGCATCCTCAGATCCCAACCTGCTTCAGACACCCTCCCGCTTCAGGAGCCGCGCGGCCTTCACCTCTCCCCTCCTCTGCAGGGGGCGGGCTGGAAGCCCAGCCTGCTCGCCGGCGCCCTCCCGCCTCGTGCCCCCACCCTCTTCTTCGGACCGACGGGCCCTTGGCATCGCTCGGACGTGTGCAGTTTTCCTTCGGCGAGGACCATCGAGGAGCATCCTTGATCATTTGGCGAAAAAGCCACGCACGAAACCGAAAAAAACGCAGGGAATGGACGTCCGAGCGATGGCCAGCGGGCCTCCCCGCTCTGGCCCCTCGTTTGGCGTCGGGGCGCGAACAGAGGCAGGCGCATCCTGCCCATCGCCGCGGCGAGGCCCCCCTCCGGGGCGCCCGTCGCCCGCGGGCGCGCGCCTGCGGGCCGCGGCCATGGCGCGCCCGTCCGCCGCAGCGCCGGCGGAGCGCTCGCGGAGCCCCGCGGGCGGCCGCGGGCCCGGGCCCGCCGAGGGCGAGGGCGCGGGCTCGCAGGGCCGCAGGCGCCTTGGCGTGCGGCCGGCCCCCCCCCCCCCCCCGCCGCCCCGCCGGCCTCGGCCGGCCCGCTGCCTGCAGTGGCTGCAGAGGGGCCATTCTGTGAGAGCGGCTGCCTCGCGGGTTCTGTCGCACGCCACGGCTCCTCCGGCGCACGCGACGTGCCCGTCTGTCCTCGGGCCGGCTGTCATCGGTGTGTGCATATATCCATGGGTGCATTCGCCGCCGCCGCTCTCGGCTGCCGCGCGGCTGCTGCCCATCCTCCTCCAGGATGTGCTCTTCCTCCTCCTCCTCCTCCTCCTCCTTTCCCTTCTCTTCCTTCTCCTCTTCCCCCTCCTCCTCCTGCTCCTCTCCCTCTCTCTCCTCCTCTTCTTCTCCTCCTCCTCCTCCTCCTCCTCCAGGATTTGGGCTTCCTTCTCCTCCTCCTCCTCCTCCTCCTCCTCCTCCTCCTTTCCCTTCTCCTCCTTCTCCTCCTCCTCCTCCCCTTCTTCCTTGATGTGCTGGTCTCGTGGCGCATCATATCCAGAATCCAGAATCCTGCCCCTCCTCCTCCTCCTTTGTACGTTAAGCAATCCTTCGGAAAGTACCAGAGGCGTTCTTCCCTCCTCCTCCTCCTCCTCCTCCTTCTCCTCCTCCTCTTCCTCCCCCTCCTCCTCCCGCTCTCCCTCTCTCTCCCTCCCCCTTCTCCATCCCACAGCAACACACAAACAAACTTGTCGCACCCCGAAACGATCAGTAGGGCGGGCAGGCCGCTTCGCCTGAGATTTCCTCACCATTCATGATCCTGAAGGTTACGCTGTGCATCCGCTTCACGGATGGAAGGTGGGTGGTTATCAAAATGAGGCTCTCGCTTTCGCGCCTGTTAGACATCTGCTGAAGTTTCACGGATGGAGGGGGGTGGTTGTGAAAACGTGGCTCTCGGATGAGCGGAGCGCGCATTCGTTTGAAATGTTTGCAGCAGCTTCTCGGATGGAGGGCGGGTCGTTTTCAAATGTGGTTCTCTCCCCTCAGCGCCGCGTGCATTCGTTTTAAAAGTTTGCAGCGGCTTTACCGGCGGAGTGCGGGCGGTTTTCAAATTGTGGTTCTCGCCCTAGTCCCTCGCGCATTCTTTTCAAACGTTTGCAAAAGTTTGGCGCATGGGAGGCGGATGGTTATCGAAATGTGGCTCTCGTTTTCGCGCCGCGCACGTTCGTACCAAACGTTTGCAGGAGCTTCACGGATGGAGGGCGGACGGGTTTCAGACTGTGGCTCTCGCCCTCGCCCCCCGCGCATCCTCCTCAAAGGCCTTCAACCGTGTTACGGATGGAGGGCGGGTGATTATCGACCTATGGCTCTCTTTTTTTCCTGTCGCGCGCCGTCCTATTTAAAAGTCAGCAGGAACATCACGGATACAGTCGACCCCTCTTCAGCATGTGGCTCTCGCCTGATCGCCGCGCACCTTCGTCTTAAACGTCTACAGCAGTTGCGCGGGTGGAGGGCGTCTCCTTCTCACAGCCCGGGTCTCGCTGCAGCGCCGCGCAGGCTCGACGTAAACGTCTGCAGGGACTCTGCGGGTGGAGGGCGGGCGGCTCTCGAAATGCGGCTCTCGCCCGGCCGCGCTGCGCACTTTCGCACCAACAGTGTGCCCGAGCGTCGCGCACATCCGTCTCGGCGTGCGGCAGCAGCTCTGTCGGATGGGCGGCGGGTCTGCAGGAGCTTCGCGACTGGATGTCGGCTCTTGCTCCACATGTGGCTCTCGCATGATCGCCGCGCCCAGTCTGTGCACACTGTTTTGCAATAGTCTAACGGGTTCTTGTGGTTGACGTCCCAGGACTGGTGTTCTGACGAGGCCCTCATTCCGTCCCTTTTCCGTGAAAGGCAACACCTCTCCGTTGCACCCCCAGGCGTGTTGGTAGGGCGGGCCGTGCGTTTCGCCTGAGGCTTGCATGCCTTTTATGATGCTGGATATTCAAATTTGCAACGGTTTCGTGGACGGAGGGCTGTCGGCTATGAACATGTGGCTCTCGCCTTGGCGCCGCGAGCATTCGCATGCAACGTTCGCAGCACATTCACGGATCGGGGGCGGGTCGTTTTCAAAATGTGGTTCTCGCTTTAAAGCCGCGCCCACTCGTCCTATCAGTTTGCAGCAGTTTTTCGGATGGAGGTCGGGCCGTTATCTTAATGTGGGTCTCGCCTTCGCGCCGCGCTCATTCTTGTTCAACATTTGCACTCGTTTTGCGGATGGAGGCCGGATGGTTATCAAGTTGTGTCCCTCGCCTGATCGCCGCATGCACTCGTCTTACAACTTTTGTATCTTTTTCACGGATGGAAGGCTGTTGGTTATCAACCTGTGGTTCTCGTTTGGTCGCCGCGCACATTCGTATTCAACGTTTTGCAACAGTTGCCAGGACTCCTATGGTCGAAGTCCCAGGCATAAATCTCTGGCACTACTTAGGCTTGTCTGGACGCGACAGCCACACTGATACGCAGTGGTGATGCCCCAGGACAAGTGTTTTGGCGCGGTTCAGATTTGTCAGGACGCAACATATTGATTCGCAGGAGCTGTGTATGGCACGCTTGAGGGTTCTCATGAGTTTGTCTTCTAATGGGCTATTTCCAGCAATGGCAACAACTTCTTTCAGGGAGCCATGAAGAGGAAGCTTGGAGGGAGGGTTCATTGCAACATCGCTGTTGCACTCTAGGTTTGCACTGGTCCTCCTCTCCCTCCTCCTCCTCCTCGTCCTCCTCCTCCTCCTCCTTTTCCTCCTCCTCCCCCTCTTCCTTTTTCTTTTCCTCCTCCTCCTCCTCCTCCTCCTCCTCGTCCTCCCCCGTCCCTTCCCCGTACACATTTTGGCTGGAGGCCCACGACTGCCCCCGACAGCCACTGGATACCGCTGGTCCGCGGCACTGTCACGGCTGCTCAGCCGGGCACATAGTTTGCCCCCGTTTGCGGTACCTGTGTCTGGAAGCCGCACATGCCCTGTCGGCGAAGCGGGAAAACAACGCTGTCGATGGTGCTAAGCGTCCTCACAAGGCTCATCCTGGCGCTTATCCTGGTGGGTCCGCCAGTTGTGGCGCATCGGCAGCTGAAGAAGACTGCGCCATGACCGACGACGCTGGTGAAGAATACCAAAGCGTACACATTCGGAAGGTTGCCAGAAAGAGAGAGAGAGAGACAGAGACGCTCGTTGACAACCTCAAGCCCCCAAAGCAGGAACTGAAAGCAGCCATGGCCAAGTCCGCTGGTGAAGTGGCCAAGCCAACGATCGACCCTGTCCAGCAATCAACGGCAGCCCAGAGGAGGATGAGGAGGAGGAAGCAGAGGAGGAGGAGGAGGAGGAGGAGGAGGAGGAGGAGGAGGAGGAAGAGGGGGAAGAAGAGGAGGACAAGGACTGACTGACTGACTGAACACTTGCGATCCATGACCTGCTCCATAGCTCAACCCTGCAGCGAAGCAACCTGCTGCACAGGCTGGCTCTGTGATGCTCCAGTGACCGTAGGAGGGCCTGCCTGGCAGCCTCGCGGGGCCGCGGGGGGGACGCCTCCGGTTGTCAGCGGGACCCCGCAGGGGGGAAGACCGTGGGGCCCACCTGCAGCACCGCCCCATTCACGAACACTGTTCTGATGGGGGTCGAGATGCCTCCTCACCTGCAAAGTCTAGCGCAAGCGCAACATGATCCAAATCGATTCGGAACATGCTGACACTTGCTAACGCTTCACCTGCGATCCGTTAGCCGTTTCAACCGAGGGCTCTGGGGCAGGGGGGAGGCGGGGCGATCAGTACACTAGATGCACGCGAGGATGCAGAGACCGTGGCAAGATTAGTAGTCATCTGGCAAACCCGACGAGAGCGAGGCTGCAACATATCAAAATTATAAGAGAGCTCGACGGGCCCTGCATCCGAGACATACTCCTGACAGGTTCTATCTCCAGATCTGTACTCAAGTACGGGCCTACCGACTCGAGTTTGCAAAACCAACAAGCCCACAGCTAGTTACTAAATCTTGCCTGAAAGTTGAATCATCCTCTCAGAACCATTTATACGGACCAAAGAAGCAGCAGGCTTCACTATGGCCCTGGGGCTCATTCCTACTCCTCGTCCTGGTCCTCTCCCACGTCCTGGGAGCCCTTGGTGTGCTTGGCGATCTGCGCCGTCGAGAAGTCCATCTTGCGAAGCAACTTCTCTGCTTCCCTCTCGAGGGCTCCCTTCGGCGCCGAGCCGCCTTCTTGAGCGCTCCCTGAGCGCTGATACTGAGGCTGATCGCCATGTCGATTGTCATGAACTCCTCTCCCTGGTGTTTGGTTGAGACCGCCTGCATGTAGGGGGACATCATTAGCTGCAGCTTTTCCTGTCGTGCCAACAATCCTTGAGGCGGCAATGCTTCACCTGTTCCTGCAGCATCGTTGTGGTGGCCTCCCTCGTCGGGTTGACCTGAAGGATGTGATTCCAGCACAACTTCAGCCTCAGTCCGATCTTCTCGTTGGTCTGGGGGAGCGCCGCCAGGTGCTGCAGCAGCGCGAGGAAGATGTGCGGCCAAGGAGGGCCGAAGGTGTGATTCTTCCCGCTCTGAATACGCCTTGCCAGCGTCCTTCATCATCGGTAGGAGGGGAGTGACGATAGGGGGCGATCCAGCAATTGTAGCAAGCGCCTGTCAGATCGGCGAGCTCTCTGGAGTCCGTCAGCGAAAACCTCGCCATAGTGGCAATGCGGGCCATGAGCACGCCGCCTTTCTTGCCCTTCAGCGCCTCGGTCTTCTTCTTAAGCTCCTCGAGCTTCTTCGCCGTCTTGGAGTTGTCGGAGCCGCCCGCTGTGTCGCCAGCCTTGCGCTTGGTGCCGTCCAGGAGCCACTTGGGGGCGTTCGCCATCACGATGTCCGCGGCAGCCATCACGAGGCTGCTGGACCAGCGGGACGGTCTCGAAATGTTCACGCAGGCGGGCCCCGAGCTGATTCCCTCCTTGGGACCTCTTTGGACGTTTTTGATTCCTCGGAGGAGCCTACTGGAGCCTCGTTGGTCTCTCGCGGGGGCCTCTTGGGGACCTCTTGGGGGCCTCCCTGGTGATGCTGGGCGCTTCCCTGGTGGTGCGGGGCGCCACTTTGGGCTCTTCGGGGGCCAATTTGGAGGAGATCGATCAACTGAGGTGGTGTGAGAAATTTAGCCCCCTCCCCCCCTTCGGAGGCTCCAAAATGGGCCCTTGAGGACCTCTTGGGTCGTTCTGGGGCGCCTCTTGGGCTCTCTTGGGGCCGCCTTGGGGCCGTCTTGGGCCTCTCTAGGGTCATCTTGGGGCCATCTTGAGGCCCATGAGGCTCATCGGAAGCGAAACAGCGAGAATCCAAACAACCTTGATTTTCCGTAGGTTTTTGACGGATTTAGGCTTGTTTTTTTGGGGGGGGGCAGGAGGGCTCGAAGGGCACTCGGAGCCGTCCTGGGGCTGTCTTGGGGCGTTTTGGAGGCAAGCCGGAGGTTCTCTTGAGCGATGTTGGGGTACCTTGGGCCATCTTGGAGGCCATCTTAGGCTGCCCAGGGCCTTCTTGCAAACATCTCTGGGCCATCTTGGGCGGTCTGCCGGCTTGGCCCCCCCCCCCCTCCCCGGCAATGGGAGCGGGTGGGGGGTACCCCCTCCCGTGCAGGGCAAGGAGGGGTTGTGCCAGGGAGCTGACCACCACTCGTAAAACCACTCAGCCCAGAGGGCAGGTGGAATCATCTCGAGCGTCACGCGCTCGTGTGGGGTCAATGTATGGCTATCTCTGGTGGGGGGATTTGGCTGCGTGAAGACGTCCTCCACCGCTGGCCTATCCTGCCTGTGCCCGAGGACTCGCTGGACCTCGTGATCCTCGCCAGCATCATCCACAACGAGGTCAGGCACGAGCGGCATGTTCCCAGCCTATGGATCCGGGTGCGCAGGCCAGTGCTGGGGGAGCTCCTGGTGGTGTGCGCCTGCTCGAGGTGGCTCGCGGTGCTAGTCGCACCACGGCGCCTGCTTTCCCAGCCGGGTCCTCGCGTGGCTCGCTCCTCTGCTCTGCCCGCCGCGGCGGCGCGGACGTGGACCCCGGTTGGGGCAGGTGGAGCCCGCTGATGACCCTGAGGCCCAGGTGATGCCGGAGGCGGGTGCGCACCGACGCCCTGAGGGCGAGTGCGCGGCACGCGCTCAGTCGTCAAGCAGTTCTTCAGGATCGTCACCAGGATCGTCCAGTTCCTCCTTGTGAGTCTCGTCCGTCGGTTTCTGCGCCATGCTCCGCTGGTGCCGTCGCCGTCAACGATGGTCTACCTTGCTCTGGTCGGAGGAAAATTTCCTCTCGAGCGGTGACAGCGCTGATGGTCTGAGTATTCTTGCCCCGCGTGGACGGGTTCCGATTGGTGCTCCTGGTCGTGCCAGTTGCTATGGTGGCAGGATCGCGCTCTACGCTGCTCACAGCCCTGCTGGGTTCGGCCAACAAGAGGGCGACACTGCGAGAAAGCAGAAAGAGAGAGAGAGAGAGAGAGAGAGAGAGCTCGCGGGCAGGGCCGCGTCGTGGGCGCGCAATTGGTTATCCGCTATCTGCACGAGTGGAGCGGGCAGATACGCCACCACGATTTGATGCTTTGCTGTACCGATTGTGCTGGGGACCTCCTTCGGTATGAGTGCTCTGAGAAGTCATTGCCCTCACCCCCTGCGGCTCGATATAAAAGGCAGCACCAGGCTGCAGAAATCTGCCGCGCAGCGCGGTTCAGTTCAGCTGGGGGGCGGGGCAGCCGGCGAAGGAACCCCACTTGCGTTTGGAAGCAACGGATGCACGCGATCATCATCTGGGTTATCGAGCATCTCGAGCAGCGCAAATGGCGAATTGATCCCAGGCGGATGTTAGAGTAATCTGTGGGATGCTGCGCGTGGCGGAGCACCCTGGTCTTAAAACTTGGCCTGCATCGCGGCACTCGCCCTGACCTCCGCAATTTGGCGCTCGATGCCGAATGCGTGGTTGGAGCTGGCGACGACCAAGGCGAGCGTGATGATGAGAGAAGTTGCCCGCTAGACGGAGCGTCTTGTCTGGGTGTCCCTGGGTGCCAACAGTCGGCGGCACCGTCGAGCAGCCATGACCTACCCTCGCCTACAGGAACGGACCTGACGGTGAAGACGCGGACGTAGTGGAAGGGGCCTTTGAGGACGACCTGGCGATGGGCAGCAAAGAAGACTGCAATACTCCGCCTGCTCCTGAAGGCGAGGAGGTGTCGAGCGACGACAGCAGCGTTCAAATGACTCTCGCTGCACATGGCTGTTCCTTCATACTCCCAGGTGATGGTGCTGAAACTTCTTCCCTGGTACTGGGTCGGCTCTGCGGCCTCCTCTTGCCGATGACGTAATCACTCCATTGTGAAGTGCTGCTCCGCGCAGCGACGGTCGCGAGGATGACGCACCTGATTGTTATGAGCTTTCGCTTGTGCATGTTGACGCTGAGACGAAGCACCGTGATGAGAGGTATCCCGGCCTTCATGGCAACCTCGAAGTAGTTGAGGAGCTGGTCTACGACAACGCAACCCCGCAATCTGATGAGCTCGATGCTATTCCGGTGATAGACATTCATGGATTGACCGATAGTCAACCAGTTGACGCTCTCGAGACACCGACTTCTAATGATGATACTACGTCGGGAGCACATGGTTCTTCGAAAGACGTGTTTTCTGGAGGTGGCAGCCCCTCGGTTCCCGATGGCGGCCTCCCGCTCAGTGGTGCGTGCGTATTCGCGCTCCTCGGTCAATCGACTCCAGGCGTGCTTCCCGAGGTAAGCACGTGTAGCTTGACCGTGCGAGCGGATGGGCGCGTGGCTGGCTCCCGTCGGTTATCTTCGCCAACCGCCCTGGCTCGGACTTGGATTGGAGAGAACGGTGAACACGGTATCTCAACGATGCGCTTCGATACGAGGTCGTCGAAGGGCTGGTCAGTACCGATCCGAACCTGTTCGATAACGTCACGTTTCTGCGCTGGCCTCGTCTCGGAGTGTTCAGGGCAAGCCACAGCCAACCGGGAGGTCAGCACGATTCGTGATGTTACCTGGGTGGTGGAGGGGTGGCTGCGGCCGGTAACGGCCACTATCGCGAAACATAGGAAAACGTTCTCCGACCTCACCCTCGATGCGAGTTCACCTCTCCTCGTCGTCGTCGTTGTCGTTGTCGTCGTCGTCGTCGTCGTCGTCGTCGTCGTATTTCTGTCAGCCTTGTGTCACATTCTGTGGCCCTCGAGGACCCTCTCGGGAGTCTCCCAGAGCCACTTCGGGCCCCCGTTGTGGGCTCCCTTCCTGGGTGGCACAGCGGAGAAACCCCGCCCCCCTCTCCTGACGCCCACGTGCAACGCTCGGGATCGACCCTGAATCTCACGGTGGGTCTTGTCAGCCATCGTGTGTCAGGAGGGTAACCAGTGTTTGTTGTTTCGTTCCCCCATGGGCGTCGGTACCCGCAAACCAATCGACCTTTAACAAGATCCTCCTTGTCCTCCTCCTTGTCACCCTCGTCCTCCTCCACCGCCCCTTTGCTTCCGCCGGTGCTGCTCCAACCCCCAGGATCCCCTCCCCCTCTCCTCCCTTTCCTTGCCCCTCCCCCTGCCCCTCCCCCTCCTCTTCTCCCTCTTCGTCGCTATCTTCTTGTTCTTCCTCCTCCTCCTCCTCCTCCTCCTCCTCCTCCTCCTCCTCCCCCTCCTCCCACTCCTCCTCGTCCTCCTCCTCCTCCTCTCCGTCCTCCTCCTCCTCCTCCTCCTCCTCCTCCTCCCTTTCTCCTCCTCTTCCTCCTCCTCCAGCATTGTAGAGCTCTTGTAGGTTTCCAGGCGCGCCCCGTCGCTGGTGCAGGAGGTCCTGTCGGAAGGAGGCGCGCCTGGCGTGCCACCTGACCTCGCTGGGTGTCCTCCTCCATCCGGGCGGGGATCGAGCCATCTGACCTCGCTGGTGTCGCTGATGCCATCTGTCCTCCATCTGGTGCCATCTGTCCTCCATCTGGTGCCATCTGTCCTCCATCTGGGCTGGGATCGAGCCATCTGTCCTCCATCTGGTGCCATCTGACCTCGCTGGAGTCCTCCTCCTCCATCCTCGTGTCTTCCTCCAGCCCGGCGGGATGGGACATCGAGGTTCCGACGTTCCTTGATCAGTGATCGGCGGCCGTGTGCCAGAGTTGCGTAAGTCGGGCCTGTCCCTCTGCAGGAGGAGTATTCAAAAATAGTCAGAACAATAGCATGGGGACGATCTTTCGATCACATTTGGACCAATTGTTGGCATGTGTTCGACAATTGTTTTATTTTTCGTCCAAGCTCCCCCTGTAGGAGGACAGGCCCGACTTAGTGCCAGAGGCTGTTGACCAGCGCGCGAGACAACGCGTGCAGCCTCGAAAGCTCGTGCACCGCTGGCCTCCGTGCGTCGGCACGCCCAGGGGGGGGGGCAGAGGGGGCGGGCCTCGTCGGAAAGGGCCGAGCAGGACCCTGGCCTGCCGCGAAGCCTGCAGAGCGGGGACTCATCGCAGTCATGCGCTGCACTGGCACGGCAGCGAGGCTCCGAGCAAGTGTGATAATGCAAACCAGTGCGATAAAACACAAGTGTGATAAAACAATCAAGTGTGGTAATTAAACAAGCAAGTGCGATAACAAACAAGTGTGATAAGACACTTCCCCGAAGACAGCGACGGCTTCTCAGACGGCCAGGGAGCTTCTGAGAGCCCCCGCCGCCATCTGAGGAAGGCCTGTCCCCTCTGACATCCTCCCCCGGCGCGCCGCTGCCTGTGCCCGTGTTGGAGAGTTACTCTGCAACGGCCATTAAAGAGCCGCCCAGCGATGGTGAGGCTATCACACTCACCAGGATCGGGGAACAAACACAGGATCGGGAACAAACAGTGACATAAACATAACAACTCTGAGGTCCAGGCGGGTTTCTCGGCGCCAGACCCTTCCTCCCTGGTGCGCGGGGCGCGCTGAGGGAGGCGCCGGAGGCGCGGCCAGGGGGCCCCAGCGCCGATCCGAGGTTTCCGTGCGGACCTCCGAGTTTTTTGTTTATGCCATTGTTTGTGTTCATATCTCGTCGCCAAGGGATCGTTCGCTTGCTCCTCCTCGCCTCCCCAGCGGCGACAGCTCGCAGAACGGCTCCGAGGGCGGCGCCTTCCACCACCTCCTCTTCCTCCTTCTCCTCCTCCTCCTGGCGTGTATCGGCATGCCGTTGGCTCCCCCAGTTCTCCAGAAGGTGCCCATCGAGATGCCCGTGGTGTTCTGGGGGGACTGGGATTCTAGACGGGATTCATGGTCGACGGCTGTGTGTTTCCGATGGATCTGGAATGGCCCCCAGCTGGCCAGAGCTTCGAAGATGTGGATGGGGATTCTGCCAGTTAGGAGACAACTGGATGCCAGTTCGAGGAACCTGGGGAGCACTGTCAGGTCCCATTCAAACAGTAGGCCGTGCGGAACGCATGGCACTGCTGCAGGCGCTCAGGCTGCTCTCCAAGGTGTCTCTTGTGCTTACAGGTTTACTCTCGATGCATGATGAAGGTGTTGCCTGGCACCAAGACCAGGCAGACGGACAAGCCACCTATGTAGATATGTAGCGTGGATTCTTCGCTGAAGTTGGATATCGACCACCGCCCGATCTTTATTGGATTCCAGCGCACATGTCATTGGCGTCATTGGTAAAGGCTCTCGACTCTAGGCACCCCTTCGAGTTCTATCTTGGCAGCGGATGGGCTGACTGGTTCGCGAAATGGAGGGCGTTGGAACATGTGCTACCTGAATGTTTTGTCCAGAACCATGAGGCGTTGCTGTCGCACGCCAAGCTCCTGGCCAGGTTATTCGGGTGGGTGACGGCGAAGATTGCAACTCGTGATGGCGAAAAGTATAGGCCCGCCCGCTCGTACAGACCCTCCTCCCAGGGACCCCCTAAGTTGAGCCTCGCGGCCCACGACATGGCCAGCCGTGTTTAACATGAATGCCGTGTGATGCAATGTAAACGATGCCTGAGTATAGCTAGGACCCCTGCCAGCTTGGCTGAACTGCGAAGCTCCCCTTGTGCCCCAACCCCTCAGCAGTGTTTGTTGGTGTCCGGGAACACGGTTTTGATGCAGGCTTCTAGTGTTGGGACCCAGGCAGTAGAGGCGGCCCTACAGTGGGCCGACGAGGTAGGTGGCACGTCTGGCTTGGCGAATGGGGGTTTCGCTCAGAGCGAATCTTCTGTGCCGCCGTCTGATCAGATCGTCGAGCTCCGTGGGCACCATGTGTTGGTGTCCAAAGGTGCCATGGTGTGCACCCTGTGTGGCTCCTATCAGACGTCTTTTCAGGCGGCTAATTGTAACCTGGACGAGGACTGTAAAGGGCCTTCCAGGAACCCCGAGGCCAGATATAGGCAGCGATATAACATCAAAATCATTAAGTCTGGCAAACACCCCGAGTCGGGGAAGCCTCTCGGCTAAATTTGTATGCCCAGCAGGGCCCATAGGCCATGGCCCGTGCTGCAGTCCTCTGCTGCACGACAGCGGCGTCGTCCTCTGCCTCCTCTTCCTCATTCTCCTGCTCGTCGACCTCTTTCTTCCGCCCTGCCCTCCTTCTCTTCCTCCTCCTTCTCCTGCCTTCCCCCCTTCTCCTCGCCTCCTCCTCATGCCTCCCCCTCCCAACTCCTCCTCATCCTCCTCCCTCCACATGTCTTCTCCCCCCTCCTCCTCATCCTCTTCCCCCTCCTCTTCCTTCTCCTCCTCCTCCTCCTCCTCCTCCTCTCGTCTCCTCCTCCTCCTCCTCCTCCTCCTCCTCCTCCCTCTCCTCCTTCTCCTCCTCCTACCCCTTCTCCTCCAGCTGCCCCTCCTCTTCTTCCTCCTCCTCCTCTTCCTCCTCTTCTTCTCCTTGACCCTGCCCCGGGGTACTGTCTCCTCCTCCTCTCCTCCTCCTTCTCCTCCTCCTCCTTGCCCCCCTCCTTGCCCCACCGACCCGCGGCAGCTCATGGAGCGGTTCCGAGGGCGGCGCCTTCGGCCTGGTCAGCCCCGCAAGCGGCGGCGGCGGCGGCTGCACGCCGGCGGCTTAGGCTTTACCTTGGGCGGCTTCGGGGGACGGCCTGGAGGGCGCGCTCCTCCTGGGGGAGGGAGGGGGGGAGAGAGGTATGGGGAGGAGGAGCACGTCGGAGAGGGCAAGGGAGAAGAGGGAGGAGGAGGGGGATGAGGGGGAGGAGTAGAGGGATTGGGAAGAAAAGGGAGAGGGAAGGAGGAGGAGGAGGAGGAAAAGGAGGAGACGGAGGAGGAGGAGGAGGAGGAGGAGGAGGAGGAGGAGGAGGAGGAGGAGGAGGAGGAGGAGGAAGAGGAGAAGGAGGAGACGGAGGAAGGGGATAAGGATAAGGAGGAGCAGGAGCAACAGAGGGATCCGAAAGTTGGAGGAATAGTGACAAGGATGAGGAGGGAGGGAGAATACGTAAAGGTAGGAGGAGGACGATGATGAGGAGGAAGAGGAGCAGGAGCAGGAGGAAGTGGCAGGGGGGGAGGATGAACAGGAGGGTCGTACATCGGAGGACATAAATTGAGGAATCAGGCGGATGAGGAGGGACAGAGAGTGTAATTATCGTTGTCATCATAGACTCATAGACACCTCTTTGAGGGAGCAGAGCTCAGAGGCGACTCTTGATGTCGCCGCCTATCTTTGAATGACCGTTCCGCGTGGGATCTCCTCCGAGTTTTGAACATCGGACGCGCCCCTCACGCAACCTGCGGCGTCGCGGTCCACAAGCCCAGTTGTTCTCGATCGTTCTGTGGTGCTGAGTCATCATTTTGGAGAGACAGCGCCCCGTATCACTCACTCCCTCCTCCTCCCCCTCTCTCCTCCCTTCCCTGCCACAGCCCTCCACGTGTCCAGTCCGGCTCACCCCTCACACTTTTCGTGGCCCTACAGGGAGCTCCACTGAAGGCCACAGTGGCACCGTTCGCATGCGTCCGCGCCACCCATTTCGGCACACACCTCACACGTTTCGTGGCCCTCTAGGGAGCTCCACTGAAGACCCCAGTGGCACCGTTCGCATGCGTCCGCGCCATCCATTTCGGCACACCCCTCACACGTCTCGTGACCCTACAGGGAGCGTTTGCATTCGTCCGCGCCACCCATTCCCGCACACCCCTGCACGTTTCGTGGCCCTATAGGAAGCTCCACTGACGGCCCCAGTGGCACTGTTCGCACCCGTCCGCGCCACCCATTCCCGCACACCCCTCACACGTTTCGTGGTCCCGTGGGGAGCTCTACTGAAGGCCCCAGCAACTCCGTTCGAATGCGTCTGCGACATCCATGTCGGCACACCCATCGCAAGTTTCGTGTCCCGATAGGGAGCTCCACCCAAGGACCCAATGGCACCGTTCGCATGCGTCCCCCCGCCCATGTGGGCACACCCCTCACACGTTCCGTGACCCTACAGGGGCTCCTCCGAAGATGAATCAGACAAACCGTAATTCGTTTCGTGGACCCACAGGGAGCTCCACCCAAGGCACCAGTGGCACCGTTCGCATGCGTCCCCCCACCGATGCCGGTACACCCCTCGCACGTTTCGTGGCGCTAAAGGGAGTTCCACCGAAGATGATGTTGACAACTGCGGTATTCTCCCCTTCAAATGGTTGGGTCCGTCGTCAGGCTAATTTTTCAACATGCCCCCACGATATGGCCAAACGTACACCAGTTACGAATGTGTCGCACGACTTGCTTGCATCACCATTGGTCTTCATGTATGTGGCACGTGTTTCTCACTCTATGGTCAAGCTGTAGTTTGTTTTTTGTTGACATGCCCACAGGGGGTGCTGCTCAACATGTCGTACACCCCCTGTCTGTGTCAGCCCCATCGGTGACCCTCAGCATTTTTTGAACGACAATCGCAAGATGTGGGACCCCCACTTGCGCCAAACTCATCGCAAGGTGTGGCAATCATCTGCGACTGCGCCCCCCCTCCGCCTCTTGTGATACACCCGCCATTTCGTCTTACCTGAGATTCATCAGGTGACCCATCGTATGTATTTGCACCATCGACGGCACCTGTGCTCATGGACTCCACGAGGTGCGTTTTTGTGATATTCCAGAACAGTATTATCACACGCGCCAGTCACACCATCTCCTTTGCTATCCTTGAGCGCATCGGCTAATTATTGCAAGTGCAGTTTTTATGCGTTGGTCTATCATGTTTGGCACCAATTTGGCCAATCGCAACCTGTGACGACCCCGT